AGGCCAGTGTTAACATACGAGTCAGAAACGTGGTCACTTACACAGAACGACCAAGAACTGCTTAAACGTTTCGAGAGAAAAACTCTAAGGAAAATATATGGGTTTGTGGCGTAGGCGCTACAACTTTGAGTTATACAGAAGTTTTGGGGAACCTGACGTTGTAAAATGTATTAAATTAGCACGCCTTCGATGGATTGGACATGTAATTAGGCGAGATGAAGATGCAACGATCAGAAAAATTTTCGACCGAAGAGGATCAGTGGGAAGACGATCCAGAGGAAGACCAAAACTTAGGTATCAAGATAACATAGAGGATGATCTAAAATCCATCGGAGTTAAAGCATGGAGAAGAGTTGCCAGAGACAGGGGCGAATGGAAGATTGTTCTGAAGAAGGCTTTGGCTCATGACCTGCTGTAATGCCACTGATGATGATGATGATTGTTTTTAATTTCATTAGCAACTTCCTTAGGGGTAACCAGTGGAACTCTCTTAATGTACTCATTTGGGTTGAATTTAGGAGATGTATCAGCACCCACGTTAAACTGAAATCTTGTTTTAAGATGTTCCGCAAAGATATTTGATTTTTTTCTCGATTTTTACGAGCTGAACTTCGATCATCTTTTCTAGTATATTTTACAAAATTATTAATCTAAGTTCATTTTGTTGTCCCATTATACCTAATTATAATTTGGAAAAATAGTGTTACACTCTTGTTGGTAATCTCAGTTTTATAAGATACAAAAAATTCCGTGCAGTTCTTTAAAAGTATCTATAGCTTATCATGTCATCTCGGTTGCTGCTTTAGAAACAAACAATAATATACTCAACTTTTTTTGCTTTAAATATCATTCTAGGTAATTTAGATTTTATTTATTTGATTTACACAAAACGATTTTTATCTGTCCGTGTTACAATGGAACAACTCGATGAAAAATGTTTGATTTTACAATGCCACTATTTCTTCATATCCTGTCCTTGTGTATATTCAAATTGAAATAATGCATGCATATCGTTATACAAAACACAGGCATTCGCACGCTTTTATCTAATACGACACATGAAAAATGCTAATTAATATAGGGGTAAATAAGAAAAACTAATTAATGGAAGAAAGAAGTAAAATTCAAACTCAAGTTATGGAAATAAACAGTTTTGGTGTTGGGAATGATATTATTACAGTGCTTTTGACTGAAAAACTAAAAAGGTACCTTACAGAGATAGACTTAGCGACACGAGCACTATCCTCATAAATGCTTAAAATCACATATTGGCAACAATATGTCGATGATACCTTCATCATTTGGACCCACAACAAGGATGGTTCGGTAACTTTTCAAATCCATGTGAATGGTATACATCCTAGTATCCAGTTCACGATAGAGTAAGAAATTTATTGCTCTTAACCGTTTTCTCGACTTCCTCATAAACAAAAACCAATTATAAGGTTTCTATTACCCTGTTTACCAAAAACTTTCCCATATTATTAATTACATGTAATTTAGTCATTAATACTCTTGTTGTCAGATCAATGCACCTTTGCGACAATTCGAGTAGATCCGCAGAATTTTGTTCTTTATAACAAGCCATTTTCCAAAATAATTACCGCGAAAATAATATCAATGGGACCATCCACAGGTGCCCATATATCTGTCGTTTAATCTTAATTAAAAAAAATTAGTCCCTTCTCACAAGAAAGATTTTCTTTTTTAATTAAAGGTGTCACTGACAAAATTGTCGAATCAAAGGAAATAAACACAATATTTATTGCTCACTAAAAACTGTTGCCCGAGCAGTTATAAAATAAAGACCTCTCCTAGAAGTCTATCCGTCAGATAAAACAACATAACTCAAAATATATCTTCTTCTTCTTTGAGTACCGTGCCCAAGTTTTAGGCGTTCGTAGCTTCCATGGCGATTTGCCGATATCGTTCTCGATCTTGCGCGGCATGTAATAATTCATCTGTTGATAAGTTAGTCCATTGACGAAGGTTTCGGAGCCATGAGTATTTCTGCCTACCAATTCCTCTTCTTCCGTTGAATATCAACTGCATTATCCTGTATCTGCTTCCTCTCATGGAACTATCCTATGTAGTCAACCGTTCTTGGACTAAACCCAGAAACAATATCGGGGATAGCTTAATCACCATTGGTCAAAGATATTTTAACAATCTGTTCTTCTAAATGTTCCTATCTTCTAGAGATGTTGGAGGCCACATTGACCCATCTTATTCGATTCACAGTAGCTCGAAATAGGTCAGTTGACGTTAGATCAGTCCATTTCCTAAGATTGGCCAGCCAGTGTATAATTCTACGTTCAGGGTCTCTCTTATCCTTAATCTTGCCCTGTAGAATCAACTGTAGAAGTCGGTATTTATCATTACGCATGATGTGGCCGAAGTAAGCCAATTTTCTGTTTTTTATGGTGTTAAGAATTTCTTTGTCTTTTCTTATCTTCTGGAGAATAGTTATGTTACTTGTGTGGTGTATATATGAGACCCTCAACATACGTCAGTAGCACCACATTTCAAATGCCTCCAATCATTGTATGGCATCTTCTGTAAGGCTCCAACTTTCTACTCCATAGAGGAGGACACTAAAGACGTAACATTTAATAATTCTTATGCGTATATTGATACTTAAAGATAAGTTGCAGAGAATCTTCCTAAAGCTGTTGAAAGAGCTTCTGGCTTTTTCAATACGAGTTTTTATTTCGTAGCTGTGATCCCAAGTATTCTTAATATTGCAGCTTAAATAATATATTTTTTCCACTCTTTCTAACGGTGTATCGTTAATTCTAATTTGGGCGTTTATGCCGCTGTTCTTACTAATGATCATTATTTTTGTATAATAATTAATGGGAAAATCCCAGTAGTTGGCTGTATACCATCGTTTAAAAAAAACATACAAAAGTTAAAACACTTCACAATTGTATTTTGGTATAAAAACATATAGTTAAAACTTTTAAAAAGTGTCGTCAAAATTTATATAGTGGTATACCGTTTTCGATCTAATCAGATCATCATCAGTGCCTTATGTAGTTGAAGCTAACAATAAAGTTGTGGCTGTGACATCCATATATGGGTTTACATCATTCCAAACAGTAGCGCACCTAGAAACAGTTTGCTCTGGGGGGGGGGGGTTTGGTTGGGCACCGAAATTTTTTTATGCTACCTCCATCATTATTTTTAACTCCCAAACCTCCCCATTGATTCCAAATTTAAATATAGTTGTGACTCTAGGTCGATGACATTGGATAAAATTTAATACTTTAGGAACTACATGTCTCCCTGCTCGTGTTAAAAACCGTACATCGTACTGTTGTAGATCTTCCTCTGAATCTTTTACTAGCTACGTTACCTTCAACGATCATTTGCTGTTTTCTTCTAGTTATAATATGTCCAAAATATCTCAGTAGGTATATTTTGGTTGATAGTAATACTATTTTTAGTATTACTTTTTTTGTATTTATTGTTATTTTGTTCTATTTTTGGACCATTTTACCAGTTTCCATAAAAGAAAACATCAAAGTCCACAAAAAATTAGGCAGTTTTGAGGTGTACCCGCTTGCTAAATTATTACTGAAACACCAAAGTAAAAAATATAAAATTTAATTCTCATTACAATCAATTGTGGCTTAATAACATAAAAATTTGCGAGAAAAAATAGGTTTGTTCTAGCAAACAGACAAACTAGTCAGAAACCGTCAGCAAACAGTTGGTCAGCGAGAGAAAATAATACAGTCATCAGTGCTATATCCCCTATACTCGCACTGGTCCACTATTCGCTGATGGTTTCAAACCATTTGAAACTGATGCTAGAACAAACCTATTATTACCGTTGCTTAGTCTGTGGTACTACACTTCATCTAATTTATATAACGATGCACGTCATCGGCGTCATAGCATCGAGCAAAAAGACAATAGAGGGAATGTAAAGGTAGTGGGGGCAAACATATTGTTAGACAGGAAGTGCGATCTTTAGAGGCCACATTAAACAAGGAAAGAGAGTCTCTCTCCTTGTTTAACATCAAATTTAGTTGGGTTATGTTATTGTTTGTCCCAAATGTCACATGAAATCTTATTTATATTGAAGTTTTTTAACAATTGTGTCGCATTTTAGACTCTTATCATTAATAATTAATTAAAACTTTCTCGTCTAGGACACATTCTGAAAAATATTATATAGCTACTGTTGATAAGTGTCGGAAAATTTAAATTTGGCGCATTCGCATTTCCGGATATGTCCGCCATCAGAGGCCACTTTTTTGGTCTCCTTTTCATAAGGATTAGATTCCCTCTTTTGTCTTATTGCTCGATGCGTCATAGCCTGTGACGTCATATAATACCAACACGAAATATTTAGGGTTTAGGTGTGTTCTTTTTAGAATCACTTTACCGAGTACACTGGCATTACAGCCACTAGGCATATTTTGTTATATACGCGTAGAAATAATATTTAAAAATTTCTATTAATGTTAACTTAAAGAAATACACAATAATATGTTTCATTTAATTTGTATAAATCCATTATAAAGAGTTTTTATCAAGAACATTTGTTCTAAACACACTGTAACTGTAATCGAACGAAGGTAAAATTTTGGCATAAATTGGTAACACTTATTTGACAGTTGCGGTGTTGACACTTTTTGTACTTTATTATTTTGAATTTTAAAGTGAATACCTCTTGTTTTATATTTTTACCTATTTAATAAAATCTGTTCTTTTTAGAACAAAATTAGTGTGTTTTATTTCAAAAATGTCACGTAAGAAGTTAAATAGTCGTTGTAAAGAGATGGTAATACTTTTGCAATAATTATGTGACCTTTTGATTTAAAATGGAGTCAGGATTTTTTTATACTTTGGCAACTATGTCAACTTCGATCTCTGACGTAGATAATGACGTAAGTCGTTATCTAAATTAGATGAAGTATACCTAAGTTCATTTGTGAACACACCTGCCATTATCATTTCTAGACAATTGTCACTGTCAATGAAATGTCATATGTCAAAACAAACCAGCTGAGTTGGGCAATATTTTGTTGTATTGATGGAAATTCTTATTATTTATGGAAGTTATTACAAATTTTAATAAAGTCATGGCTTCAGCAGTATCAGAGAAGGTTAAAGACAAACGAAATAGAGTAAGTAAAGTCGTGATTGTAACTTTTATGTATTACCTATAATTAGCTACTTAAATGGTTTGGTAAATTCCTTGAATTTAATTACTTAGGTACTAATTAGGTTAATTGTTTTATACCTTTTATTAAGAAATGGTTAAATTTTGACTTCTATCACTCCAAAATGTTGAAAAATCTAATAAAGACATATAAACTAATAATGAATTTTTATTAGGTTCTTCTAGGACCTTTGCCTGATGATTTTCTTCGAGTAAATACATCAATCCAGGAACAACAAGAAGCTGCTGACAGACAGACTGCAATAGCACTTCAACAGCATTATGCTGGTGGGACCATGTCATATGTTTACAATCCAGCAGGACGTCTTAGTATTACTGTAGCTCAGGCCAAGCTGGCAAAGAACTATGGTATGACTAGAATGGATCCTTACTGTCGAATCAGAGTTGGGCATTCCATTTATGAAACCCCTACTGATCCAAATGGAAGTAAAAATCCAAGGTGGAACAAAGTGGTATACTGGTAAGAATTATTTCATTCTGTATTAAATCGCATAACTTGTGAACCATTTAAAAATGAGAGTGTAGTGTTGCTGATCTATTTTTTCCTGTGCTTACTCATGTAATATATCCATATTAGGATTTGGTTATGGATTATAAAATAAAATGCACTCTAATTATGAAATTGATAAGATATTCAGGGGGTGCATCAAAACCCTTTAAGTTTTTTTGTCCTAATGCTTAGGACTACAATATGTCACAAAATTAGTCAATTTATTTTAACAGTTTTACCTTACCAGCACACATCAAGATTTGCCCACTTGTTATTATTTGTAACATTAAATTTTTGGATATTGGAACTTATATCTACAAACCAAAAGATATATTTTCACAAAAACGGTCATTATTCATTTCTAATTTATATTATAGTGTTTTAGTCTGTCTGTTAACCCTCCTTCCCATGGATGGGGTCTATCAGTACACCCATAAATGAAATTACTTAATTTTTCCAATTTTTTTTGTATTTTTTTCCTAGACTCAGTGTACCTTTTAATGGTACTGAATACTACACTTTCACATAATTTGGTGAAATTGTATGAATCCCTTCAATTGCTACCTGTAAAAGTATCCTAATACTTTAAAATTTACTATTAGTAACATAAAAGTATTACTAATACTAATATGAGAACCTTGCTAAGTAACAGCAGCCTTAACTTAATGCTTCAATATTGCTTTATAAAATGTCACATTTACTCCATACTGCTTATAGGGTGTAGAAACCTGGACCATAAAGGCCAATGTGATGAAGCGATTATATGCCTTTGAAATGTGGGTATTTAGAAGACTACTTTTCCTGGACAGATCACACAACAAATGGCGAAGTATTAAATCAAATGGACAGAGAACGAGAATTGTCGCCAATAATAAAAAGAAGAAAAACTGCTTATCTGGGTCTTATATTTAGAAATTCCAAGTACCAATTCTTAAAGCTTATTATGGAATGGAAGATAGAAGGAAAACGGGCCATCAGAAGAAGGAAATACTCGTGGCTTGAAAACATAAGGGATTGGACAAACCTCAATGTCTATGCACTCTTTAGAGCCACACAAGGTCGAGATGAGTATGCCAGAATTGTCGCCAACATCCACTAATTGGATAGGGTACCATAAGAAGAAGAAAGTATCTTGACAGACCCCACCCGTTTCTTGTTTTGTGCTATGGCTTGGCTAATATTGCAGCTATAAATGTATTTATTATATGTATTACAAATGCAGAATTTCAGTCTTCTCATTGATTGTTTCCAAAGTCTTTAGAAATTGTGTCAGTCCAGAAAAATATGAAAACACAAGCGCTAAATATGTGTATACCTAGAACATCACAGTTACTTGCTGCAAAATTGTCTGGAATTGAGCAAACAATGAGGGATGACCCAGCCCCAGAAAATGGGGATTGTGTAAGTATTGTAAAAAATGAAAAACTAGGTATTTTTGCCAATTGTGCAAAAACTGGTTGTATATAGAACATATAAAATCATGTTGTGCCGAGTGTGTAGGAACAAAATTAACAATATTTAACCCCCTCTATTTTCTGTTTTGAATTTTAATTTTGGATATTTAGTTTTTACTTGTATTACTGTAAGTATATTGTCTTTTTTTATATTTTTCTTTTGTATTTTACTGTGCATGATTTTTTTAATAACCTTTTGTAAAAAAATAATGGTGGTAGTTATTTCTCAGTAAGCTATAACAATACATATTGATACACATATTATATGTACATATAGGTAGTACAACTTTACATCAGTAAGTTTCCTTAAAAATATTAAACAAAAATTTTTGTTAATGAGAAAAATAATGTTTCAAATTTGGTCGTGATAGACTCCACCTGTGGATTTGTGTAACAAGAAAGTCACCTGTGGAAAGGAGGGTTAAATAAACTGAATATTAATGGAGCTTAATAGAATAGCACATATTACGCTTTGATCTACAGATTGAACCAAATTAAAACGGAACATACAATTTAATACATGTCTGTTTGAACTGCATTTGAAATAGTGGACCAATATAAAACTTGGACAAAAATAAATCCATACCTGGGTATAGACATTGTATAAAATATCGTTCAACTATCTGTCTCGCAACAATGTTGTTTGCGTAAGACGGGTTTGTCTAAGGAAGCGATAATAGTTCAGGAAATGAAGCTCAAAAAAAGTTAAAACCTTGCAATTTTTTGTCCTGCATGTATCCAGTTGAAATTTTAACAGAAGGTAGGTGATAGTCCAAGGATCAAAATCTATATCGAACGGAAGTGCGCTGAAGGGTTTTAGGGCTGAAAACTACCCCTAATTGTCAAAAATTATAAAATAACATATTAAACCTAAATATGGGTAAAATTTGGTTTGAATTAATTAAATAATGATAGTTTCGTGCTTGTGAATAAAGTTCCATCATATTTCAACCCTTAAAAAGCGACCCTTATTAGAGATTAATATAAAAAAATTAGTAATGCGAAGAAAATGATTTCACCTTAGAACGATTTGCATAAAAATTTGGAATTCAGCTCAACTCACCCTCTACTTTATAGTTTATGTCATGCCGATGAATCCTGATTGTTCTTAGGGGTGAAAACTTCCCCTAATTTTCAAAAATTGTAAAATAGTATTACAAATCTTAAGATGAGTGAAATTTGGTTTGGATTAGTTAAATAGTAATTTTTTTATACTTTAAAATACAAATTCATACATTTTCAACCCTTCAAAATTAATTGTTATGAGTGCTATAGGTGAAAACAATTTTTTGCCAAAATTTTGCAACTTTTCAACTTTTGAAAATTACCCTTTACAACATTGCAGTTTTTATAAACTAATTTATAAGATATAAATTGAAAAAAGTAGAATTAAATACAAAAAAATTTATCAACCTAAAAAGGCACCATATATTCTTATACATTTACATAAATAGTTGAAAATATTTACATTTAAAGGTAAAACAATTATAATATTAATTTTATTCGTCATCAATTACATCTTCATCGTGATCTATGTCATCCTCATCTTCTTCAATTATTGGTGGACTGTTATTGCACCCTTCACCTGAGCACCCAGAACAAGTAGAGTTACAGTATCAACCAACTTTTCTGCACCCACATGAAACGCCGCATCCTTTTTTGCATTGGCAAAAAATAATTTTCAAAAGTTCATCGGGTGCAGGTTATTTGTTTATGCGTACGGGTAATAACAAACCATCTTTGGAATACCATCCCCAATCTGTTGCTCTGATATTTTCATTGCCAAGCCATAGACATATGAGCAGATGTTTTATTCTGTTGTATGGGATTTCAAAATAAGAACGCTTAAAATTTCGAATGTATAACGCCCCACTAGCTAATATACCGGTTTTGTAGATTATTATGCTCCGAAATGTACTGTACTATACTAATGGAATTTTCCGGAAAAAAATTAACTGGTTTTTTTAACGTATTTCCTTTAATTTTTAACAATAGAGTGTTTCTTTAAAAACGATTTTTAGAGGTTTTTAAGAGCTACAAGGATCTGTGAATTAAATCTTTTTGGAACCCTTGATTTTAAATGGGGTGAGTTTAAAGGGCTCGAAAAAGATGGTGCTTGATCGTAAATCGATGCTTTAAACGGCTATATCTCGCCAAATATTCATTGTACAACAAATCTAAATAAAGGATAATTTTATTCATTAAAAAAGCTACAATTTGATAATTTTATTTTTTTCATATATTCAGTATTTTCGGGCATATTTAAAAAACGAAGGGTAAAAAATATGAAATTGTAAATCGTTTCTCGCTTTAAGCTGTACTTTTTCTAAAACTAAGCATTTTAAATGGGTCAAACTTCTTGGACGTATTAACAATACCTGTACAAAGGGAATTGCAGAAGGGTGAAGATCGATTTTAATTATGGGGGTGGTTAGGGTGTTGTTTTCATCGATTTTTTCGTAAAAAATGAGGTATTGACCTTATTTTCATCATAACTCACTCAATTTTTGAGCTAGAGTCTTTTTTATGATAGGTCTATTTATGCCCTTTAAAAAACGTTTTGTGAGTTTTCTTCCAAAAATGCATCATTTTCCCGATATTTGACTTTGAATCTTTCAAATTTGGCATTTGAAGAAAACCGCTGAACATTGATAGGCCGTATTTCGGTTCCTATTATATCGCAAAAACATTTTAAAAAATGAATTATATTTGTCTTTTTAAAAGTTACAAATTTATTATCTACAATTTTTTTGATAAAATGCACCATTTTCGAGTTATTCGCGAAAAATCGATTAAAAAAGTATGAGATTTTTATAATATAATTTGACAATCTTTTGTTGGCCAACCACCTACAGCAGAATTGAGCCGAAATACATTATATTCCTATGTTCCGAATTTATTTCGTTCAATCTGTATATATTGTTATCTTATAGGAATTTATAAACAAAAGTTAAATTTTAGTTTCCTTCCACATGGTATAAATACAATAACAATTGAAATATTTGATGAGAGATCTTTTACCATGGACGAATTAATAGCTTGGGCTCAGATTACCATTCCTGCACAGGTTTTAAGTGGGGAAACACATGAAGATTGGTACCCATTAAATGGTAAACAAGGAGAAGGAGTAGAGGGCATGATAAATCTTGTCCTTAGTTACACTGTAAGTAAAACAAAACCAACTTTTACTGTTTATTATAAGAACATGAATATTTTTAGGCATCTCCTCCAAATATTTATCCACCAAATCAACCTATTATGGTGGTGCCTAGAACTGGAGGTGGGCCAGTTAAACCAATGGCTGTATATCCGGTACCAGCATCTGAGGTTCCCCCCAATCCTGCACCAATACCAATTTTGAGTGAATCTGAATTGAAACAGGTATTTTTTTTTAATTCACTATTCAATACTTATACACTTTCTTATGAAATCTTACTAAAGTAGTGACAGCAAACAAATTTAGATATTTTTTGAATGATTATCCAGAGTTAAGATTTTGTCTAAAAATTACACAAAGTGACCAAGTTATGCAAATTTCCTGTTGTTATCAGTCATGATATGCAAATGTCTTGCAATGGAAATGGTCAGATTAGACAATATTTTAAGTATGCAATTAATACTTGGAAAGAGATGAAATTTCCCTTTTCTGTCTACTCAATTCTACTTTGTTGAAATATCCCAAAATAGTTATAAAGTTACTTTTTTTAGTTTTTTTTTTTATTTTATTCTTCAACATACGGCACTACTGAGTGTCCAGGTCGTTTTGCAATTTTTAAACTGTCCAAGTTTTAAACATGATTTTCTGTCCCAGGATAAGGACTCGAGAAATTTTGTATCCTCTAAACCTAAACCATAAAAGATAACTTGAAGATGCCCGATTAGACACACATACACGGCTTTCTCCAATAAATCGTAGTGTTGTGTTTCAAGTTACATAATAGGTAAAGATGGTATGAGAAATTTGACATGTGTTCTAGCTGAGAATATTCTGAAGAGAAAAGAGCCATTTCTGGTTGGTTTTTTAGAGGATAAGATGTGTCTACTTTATGCGATTTGTTTGATTTTTCTGAAGTGCAGTAATTTTACTACAAGTATTTATATTCAGAAATATATAGTCGGATATCATATCAATCCATCAACAACTGTATGTTATATTATGTTACATCTGTGTGTTACGCTGTAAATTCTTTTTTGTAAAAATACGTTTTCTGTTTTTACGCTGTAAAAATACGTTTTATTTTTATTTGAATTTCAACCATTTGTTGGAATAAATTGTTTTTTTTTTGGGACTGATGTATTTAATTTTTCGGCTAGCAAGTCCCCGGATAAAATATTAAATTAAAACAATTTGCTAACTCATATTACTGCGAGAAAGAAAGATAAGCCTGTATAAGCCATAGGCAAGTGAGCAGTCTTTCCAATGAATATTTGTTATCTATTTATAGAGTGTGTTGGCAACATTTAATATATTTTAACAATTGCCTCTTTAATATATTTTACATTTTTGGTTTTCAGAATGTATTTTTTTATTTAAGTAACTACGGTTACTTAACTTTTTCCTTTTTTTACAAAAAGTTAAGTAGCGCCCAATCTTATTCTATCTTTTTCTTCTTATCTGTGGTAATTTGTTCTGTTGAACCAAATACCAATTTTAAAAGCTAGTTTCGGACCCACAACTCACTCTCCACCAACCATCTAGCTGCTCTCCACATTATATCAACTGGTGTCCTTTCTAGCTACATCAAATAAAAAAAGGTTACACATTTTAAGAAGAAGTAAGAATGTTAAATATACAGTCATAACCATTTGAAACAACTCAAGGAGTTAGACAAGGGGGAAGTCTCAGCCCAGTGCTATTGATAAATGTAATAGATGATATAGTGAAAGAATGTAGGAAAACATTAAAGAAATACTGCATCGGTTGGAACAGAATGCAAATTATAAACGCTGAGATGTGTATAGTTGGAGACGACATAGTATTAATTGTGGAAACAGCAGAAAACCTGAAATACAACTTAGAGAAATGAAACCTAGAAGCAAGCAAATACAACTTAAACGTAAACAAAGAGAAGACTCAGATAATGAAAATATCAAGGAAACACGGGACGGAAGATCAAATAGAAGTAATGATAGACCAACAAAAAATACAGACAAATTCATACAAATACTTAGCAACAGTAATCAACAACAAAGGAGACATCGAGGACGATCTTAACAACAGAATGGAAAACACAGGAAAACTATTCCAAGCACTAAATAGAGGATTCCTTAATAACAAAGAAATATCAACAAAGACCAAGATGACAATATACAAAACAATATATAGACCTACAGTGACATATGGAGCAAAAAATTGGATATTACACAAAAGACATCAGAGCAGAATTCAGGCAGCAGAGATGAAATACCTCAGAAGAATGATCGGAGTAAAAAGAACTGATAGAATCATAAATGAAGAAATAAGAGAAAGTGTAACGATAAGACTAAACGAAAAGAGTAAATAATGACAGAGGAAGAAATGAAAACAGGGGAAGAAATATAGCGGGCGCCAACTATTTTTAAATAAAAAATAGTAAAATTAAACTGAAGATAAACAAATTAACAAATTACTAAAGAAATTAAAATGAAATAATTATTTAAATATAAATTAATAGAGATGTGACGTTTATAACGTTACACATTCCTACCACCCATCAGAAAAATTTCGAACACAACTGAGAAATTTTTCTCAAAGAAAACAAGAACACAATGTTCTACCTAGGCATAAATATATGCAATAGTAATCTGTAGCAACAAATAAAAAATAAATACTTTATAATAAAGCAATCAAGTTAATGAATATAAGAAGAAAATATTGATCATATAAAAAATTTAGAGTATTACTCAGGGAAATTGAATACTTCCTAACGAATTGTAGTATCCGTCAAACTAAAATTTGTTATATGTTATTAATATTATAACAAAATAATTAAATTAATGAATATAAGTAATTGTACATTATTATTCACAATAAACTTAGAGTATAACTCAAATTTGTGATATTTACAAAAAATAAAATAATTTTCAGATTATTTAGTATATATATATATATATATATATATATATATATATATATATATATATTATATATATATATATATATATATATATATGTTTGTTTTGAGGTTTCCGCGGGAGCTATATGTGCTGTCACTATTTTTCCGGGTTTGAGTCCGCGTTGTAAAATGCTGGTTTTCTTGAAAACCATTCTTTTGGCGACGTTTCATGAAGATGTCTTTTCTTGCTTTGCAATAGCGTTTCGATGTTCTTCTCGTCTTACTTGAATTCTTCGATTAGTCTGTCCGATGTAGGATTTGTCGCAGTCTCCACAGGGAATCTTGTACACTCCTTGGTTTTCTAGTGGGATTTTGGTTTTTGCGGAGTTAATCATATTAGAAATTTTCTTATCCGTGTTGAATATTGTCTCTATTTTATGTTTTCTTAGTACTCTACTGATTTTTTTCCGTAGTGCCCTTCACGTACGGCAAAATCGTCTTAGCAATAGGTTTTTCTTTTTCTTCTCTTGATTCTTTGCTTTTTCCTCCTTGTGATTTTTGTGCCTTTTCAATTGTGTACGTGGTGAAGCCATTTTTTCTTAATGCTGTTTTGACCGTTTTCATTTCTTTGTTCCTGTGTTCTTCATCTATTAATCTTTCTGATCTTATAGTCAGGGTTTTCATGACTGACTGCAGTTGTGCAGGATGGTGGTGTGAGTCAGCGTGTAGATATCTGTCGGCGTGTGTTGGTTTTCTGTATACCGTGTATCCTAAAGTTCCATCTGTTTTCTTTATTATTAAAACATCCAAAAACGGTAGCTGTTGGTCTTTCTCTAGTTCCATAGTAAACTGAATTTTGGGGTGGATGGTATTAATGTGATTTAGGAATGTATTTAGTTTTTCTTCCCCATGTGTCCAGATAATGAAGGTGTCGTCCACGTATCTCAACCATAGTTTCGGTTTATACTCTGCCGTTGTTATTGCTCGTATTTCTATTTCTTGCATAAACAGATTTGCTATCACCGGTGACAGTGGTGAACCCATGGGTGCTCCCTCGACTTGTTTGTACCTTTGGTCTTTGTATATGAAATATGTGTTGTTCAGGCAGTGTCTCGTTAGGTTTACTGTATCCGGTGGTATTGGGTATTTTTTTCCTATAATCTCTAACGATTCTTCTACTGGGACGTTAGTAAAAAGTGACACCACGTCAAAACTCACTAGCAAATGTCCCGGGTCAAGAGTCACGTCCTTTATACGCTCGATGAAGTGGCCTGCGTTCTTGACGTAAGAATCCGCTTCCTCTGCGTACGGTTGTAACTGATTGGCTAAGAATTTTGCGAGCGGCTGTGTGGGTGATCCGATAGAACTATTGGTCGTAGTGGCATCCCAACTTTATGAACTTTTGGTAAACCGTAGAGCTTAGGGCACCTAGATGATTTTTCGCGTGGAATCAGCTTGGGATGATCCTCCTTTTTTATATTTGAAACTTTGATCTTGGCCTTCGTTGTTTTTTCTAGATACGTTGTTGGATCTGTGGCAATTTTTTCGTATGCTGTGTCGTTTAGAAGATCTGTTAATTTTTTGTCGTAGTCATCTATATTCATTACTACCGTGGCGTTACCTTTGTCCGCTGGAAGGACGATTATTTCTTTGTTTTTCTGCAAATCTCGCAACGCCTCTTTTTCCTCACGTGTTAAATTTCTTTTCGGTGGTTTGGCTGTCCGTAATATCTGCGATACGTCTTGACGTATGATCTCAGCTGTTTCCGGAGGTATATTGGTAATGGAACTTTCTACTTCGCTGATAATGTTTTCAACAGGGATTCGTGCGGGTGCTACGGCGAAATTAAATCCTTTTGACAGAACACTCGTTGTGGCCTCATTTAATTCGAGATTCGAAAAATTGTAAACCAATTTGTGTGTTTCCGTCGGTGGTGTTTCCTTTTTTCTCGGTCTTTGTTCGGCTGTTAGACTATTGAACTTTTTCAGTTGTTTTATTTTTGTTAAGTCGGCGTTTGTCTCTGCTCGGAAGTTGGATAGTGTTTCCAGTGTATTCCATAGTATTGGATGTAAACTATTACTTAGAACTAGGTGTAGCTCTAGTAATTCTGAATTGACTTTGTCGATATCCCGCCTCGTGTCATGGATAGCTTCCCTAATAAGTGCAAAACTGGCCCTTCTTAAGATGTTTTTAGTTTTATAAGTCTTTTTATGAAACGTAAGCTTCATGCTTTTAGTAATTATGTCCTCGTTTCGGCAGCGTTCTAAAAAAGTGAGATTACACAAAAGTGTGCTTCGTTTGGATCGTAGTTTTTCGTATCGTCTGATGTCTGGTAGAAATTCCTTCCCGTAAAGGTTAATTATGTTTGTTTTGAGGTTTCCGCGGGAGCTATATGTGCTGTCACTATTTTTCCGGGTTTGACTCCGCGTTGTAAAATGCTGGTTTTCTTGAAAACCATTGTTTTGGCGACGTTTCGGCAAGGTCTCACTTGCCATTCTCAAGCCTGGTGGATCTACTTCTCGTCGTTTCTCGATTAGTACTGGTCAGACGGAGACAGAAATTCTGTCTCCGGCTTCTATATAAAATGTAGCTTCTCCAATTTTTAAATTTTAAAGTGTTTGTTTGTCTTTGTTTAGTGTATTTGTTATGTCCCAATTTACATTTATGACATTCTGTTATTGCTGGATAGGCCACAACTGACGAAATGCCCCTGAGGATGATCTTGTGATCGAAAGTACTTGGGCAAGATTTGATTAAATACTGTGTTCGATATTTGCCTTGTGTACCATCAAAGTTCATTTATTCGAACATTCAACCTTATATTGATCTCAATAAATGGTCATAAACTAAACAACCTACGTTTCGCAGATGACACAGCCCTTCTTGCAAATAGTCAAGCAGAGCTGATAGAACTTATACGACTGATCGAAAACGAAAGTCAAATATTTGGTCTGCAATTAAACATATCAAAGACAAAGATCATGATAGTGGATAGACTACACAACAATCATCCACACATAACCACAATTGACCGGTTCGAGGTTGTGAGCTCATACTTATATCTGGGATCATTAATCACAAACACAGGGTCATTACAAGAAGAGATTAAACGTAGATCTGATCTAGCAAAAGTTGCCACAGCAAAAATGACCAAAATATGGAAGGACTGTCAAATTTCAAGAGCGATAAAGATGAGGTTGATCAACTGCTTAATATTCCCAATACTGACCTACGGATGTGAATCTTGGACTCTGAGACAATCGGAGAGAAGAAAGATAGACGCCACTGAAATGTTCTGTTGAAGACGAATGTTACGAATTCCTTGGACCGACTGCATAACAAATAATTCAATTTTAAGAGAGCTAAAAGTTAGCCAACGACTCTCTAGTAAAGTCCATCTCCAACAATTAAAATATTTTGGGCATATTATGAGAGCAAACACAGAAAACATGGAAAGACTCATAATACAAGGAAAGGTAGAAGGCCGAAGATCACGAGGAAGATCCCCAACAAGATGGATAGATCAAATTACAGGAATATGCCAAAGACCTATGCATGAATTAAAAGAAATGACCAGAGACAGAGATCTCTGGAGACGGACAATACACGACATCACGTCGACCACTACACTCCCCCTGGGGGGTCAGGATTGAAGAGAGAGAGAGATATAACATAGGGAGATTTGTGTGAGAATTTAGTGAGAATGTTGTTGGTCATTTACTTGAGAATATGATAGTATCTTTTCTATGTCAGCTACGAAATAAAAGAGAGTTTTAATCCGAAGTTATGTCCGAGAGATAGAAGTTTCAGAACATTACTGGGAATTTCTGTTTGTGAGATTTTGAATCCATTTATCATGAAATGGTAAGCAATTGATAGGAGTGAACTCTAGATTGTTTAATTTGTTTTAGAGATGAGATAGGGATTTATTTAGAAAGGTATATTTTTAATTAAACAAGCTTCATATTTTGATCCAAAATGTTAGAAGATAATGAGAGGTTAAAGTTGGAAGAATGTTCGACATTTGAAGATGATGAATGAAAGTTATATCGGAATGTACAGAAGAAATGTGGAAGTTCAACAATCGCGCTCTCATCTGTGCGTTGATGGTATCAGCTATAATAGCCAAATATAGACCAAGAAAGAAAAAGATTTTAGTCAAATCAGATGTATCCGAGATGAAAAAAATAATATTCACGAAAAAGATGCCAAAGTTTACAAGGTTACTTTTGCTATGTTCTTCCATTTTATCTCAGAATTTTTCCCAATTATTTTTCTTTGCTGCTGTTACTAATATTTTTACCTCTTTTCTTTCATGTTTATAGTTATTGTACATACTGCATTAAAATAATAACTTTTGACTATCATTTATGAAAACTACAAATTTTTTTTTGCAAATAATTATTAAGATGGTTCTTACATATTTTAGATTGAAGAGATGTTTCCAAATGTTGAAAAAGAAGTAATCAAGACAGTATTTGAAGCAAACAGAGGAAATAAAGATAGTACCATCAACTCTCTTCTACAATTGGCTGATTAATCGTATAGTTTAAGTTTAAATTAAGACAAATGATATGTGATTCTTAAACCACAGATATCTGACTTGATAATTCCATATTTTAATGCTTGTTATTGTTATTTTATGTGTTATAGTTTTGCTTTTGTGTTAATGAAATTTTGGCCATATTTTAACAATAATTCTAGTCCAGTAGCAAGTGCAAAAATTGATAAAATTGTGCCAATAAATGTGAGCAACGAGACTTTATTATTCCATTTATACCAATTTCTATGATAAATTTCCTTTACATATTTAATAAACAAAACCTTTAGTGATTTGTTTAGGATGCTATTTTGTTAAAAAAAAATTTAGTGGTAAAAATTACAACTAATCTGGAATAACCTTTAAACCTATAACCAAATACTCAATATTTGGACAAACTAAATTTTTTTTAACCTAAATTCACGCTATTATGCAGCATCTAGATTAAATTAATTTGATAATAGAAGTCGAAAACAGGAAATTGCGCTACTACTTTTGACAGTCAGTTGATCATGTTGCCGAGAGGGGGCATTTGGGCCTGTAGGACCCATCGCCGGCTCTTCGGACTTCTTCCTGTCCCCGGAATTTGATCGGATGTTGACCATCTTTGCTTGTCGCTGGTAAAACGTGTTAATACTGCTACTGGTATAAAATAACAGTTACCGTGACAAGTATCTGTTATAGGTAACAGTTCCAAGGAACAGTTACAAAATAGCAGATCAAAATAGAAAACAGAACAGGTAAAATAATCTAAGTATTCTTTGACTTACGAAAGAAATAACTTAGTAAACAAGGAAATAAAATGGTATATAAAAATACAATGCACAGAAAATGTTTCTAATTGTTTCTTGACTTACGGAAGAGACAACTTAAGACAGAAATATAGATAAATGAAATATGTAAATATGAAACAATGTATGGAAATATTTCTAAGTGTTTCTTAGAACAGAAAAACAAACAAGAGAATCAAATATAGTAAAATAAGAATACAAATATTTGTAAGTGTTTCTTGACTTACGGAAGAAACAACTTATAATAGAAAATAAGAAAATCAAATACAGAAAAGATATGGAAATATTGCTAAGTGTTTCTTGACTTACGGAAGAAACAACTCAGCATGAAATGGTAAAATAAAAGAGACAAATATATTAAGAAAATATCTTAGATAAATATCGGAAATAATAATGCAATAATGATTATGAAAATATTTCTAAGTGTTCTTTTGACTTACCGGAAAAGAATGACTTAGGCACACAATAAAATTAACAAGTCAAATATCAGAGAAATATTTTTAAGAGTTCTTTGACTTACCAGAAAGAACTACTTAGACACAAAGTACAAAATCAAATTTATAAAATAGAAAAAAGTAAGGTAAATATTTCTAAGTGTTCTTAACTTACGGAAGAACAACTTAGATACAAAATACAAGAAAAATAAACAAACAAAATAATCAAATAATCAGTATATGAACAAATATAAGTCAAAGTAATATTCTAACCTGAAAAGGTCTGAATATACAATAATAAAATATAAATGGTTATCAGGAAATAAGAAATAAAAACAATAGCTTAGTCGGAACAATAATAGCACCGACTAGGTCTACAGAAGAAGAGGCAAGCTCGACTGACCGATGAGAGAAATTCCGTCTGCTTTTATATAAAACAAATCCTTTGTTTTACGTAGCAAAAGTGGAATTTCCCTGCATCGAGTCAATTAGAAATTCGGATTTGCCCAAACTTGGAATTTCCAAGTATTTCTCCGAATTTCTAAATGCGTCCGGCACGGCTGTCAGCTTCTGCCTGATACGCCTCCGGAGACAATCAATCAGATATTAAAACGCTCTATATAGACATGCTTTACATCTACTTATCTAGAATCATCTAGTTAATGATAACTCTGAGTCAGTTATCAGAAAACACCTCTCTGCAGCTCAGCACATGTTAAGTAAATAAGCAAAAATAACACCATTGCGGAGGTACCAGCAAAACTTTAGGGTCAAAAGTAACTTCATGAGTATACATTACTCGCAACAGTCGCTAAAAACCAAGGAACTCTATTTAACAGAATAGCTTATATAAAATAGCACAAAAGTATTCAGGACAGAGATACGTGAGAGATGGGATATGACATACGGTGACGTAGATGGGTTCACTTGTAAACCCATCTACTTGACTCAAGTATTAATTTCAAGTAGTGGTGAATGACAAATTTTATTTTATAAATATTTTAAACTTTTTTGTGTGAAACACTCAATTAAATAACAAAAGCTCCACCGGAATAACTTTTCATATGTTGGTATGCATCTGTAAACAGCGTACACGGCGGTATTATGTTTTAGTGATGCTGCGTGTAAAAATAACAGGTAATTTTTAACAAGGTTTATGTGGTTGTATATTTCCTAAAGATGTTGAAAAACCTGTATACAATTTTGTAAGTAGAGAGAACGGAACCATCGAAATACAGCAAATTGTGTTCCAAACATTTTGCGAAGGAAAATATAGATCGAACCTCGTTAGTTTGTGAAAAAATGCAATTCCGACAATTGATGAATCTCAGGTAATAATAGTTATAGATATTAATTAATTAAATAGGTAATTCAAATAATATAGGTAATATTCTGAATTACACCTGGACATTGCACAGCATACAACTTCAGTTATACATTTCATTTGCCAAAAGTTTGTATACGTGTGAACGAATAGATTTCAACTAGAAGGTTCTTGATATACTTTTCATAATTTTCTATATGTACCTTTCTCTACTAGAGAGCCTACGTATTGGCCCACCGATAGACAAAAAAATTCCTGATCTTATTGATTTCGCTATAGTAAAAGGAATATCACATACCTATCTCCAAATTTCTCCTTCATTTGACCTCTCATCAGACCATTCCCCTTTCTTCTAGATAGATCTACATTTCCAAATTCATAACTGTCCTAAATATCGAGTACTCTCTAATAAAAGAAGAAACTGGAAGAGATATAGAGAAGAAATAAAGACAACCATTAACCTAAACTTGTCTCTTAAAAGTGATGGCGACATAGAAAATGCAGTTGCTCAGCTAACTACAGTTACTCAGCAAGTTGCTTGGACGTCTACCCCAGAATTTACTTACAAACACAACTCCGAGCCTTATCATGCTCACATAAATTCACTCATATTGGAAAAAAGAAAACTGCGAAAGAGGTGGCAGCTCACTAGGCATCCAGAAGATAAAGCAAATCTTAATAGAGCTTGCAGACTACTCTGATCCAACATAAAGACAATGGAATCAACAAATATTTAAAGAACTTCTCACCTGCAGATTATACAAACTATTCGCTGTGGAAACTAACAAAAAAACTTAAACACAACGAACAAATGAATATGCCAATCAGGAAAAAAAATGGCACTTGGTCTAAAACTGGCATAGATAAAGCATATACATTTGCAAATCATCTATGTGAGGTATTTCAACCACATTAGAGGGAAGTCTCAGTTGAAGAAGAGCAGGCTATTACTCTCTAATAAAAGAACAAACTGGAACAGATATAGAGAAGAAATAAAAACAACCATTAACCTAAAGTTGTCTCTTAAAAGTGATAGCGACATAGAAAATGCAGTTGCTCAGCTAACTATAGTTATTCAGCAAGTTGCTTGGACGTCTACTGCAGAATTTACTTACAAACACAACTCCGAGTCCTATCATGCTCACATAAATTCACTCATATTGGAAAAAAGAAAACTGCGAAAGAGGTGGCAGCTCACTAGGCATCCAGAAAATAAAGAAAATCTTAATAGAGCTTGCAGACTACTCTGATCCAACATAAAGACAATGGAATCAACAAATATTTAAAAAACTTCTCACCTGCAGATGATACAAACTATTCGCTGTGGAAACTAAGAAAAAAACTTTAAACACAACGAACAAATGAATATACCAATCAGGAAAAAAATGGCACTTGGGCTAAAACTGGCATAGATAAAGCATATACTTTTGCAAATCATCTATGTAAGGTATTTCAACAGCATTAGAGGGAAGTCTCAGTTGAAGAAGAGCAGGCTATTCATGAAGTCGTAAATGCACCATATCAAATGGCTCCACTTATTAAATTTATTAAGAAATCTGAAATCAAATAAATAATTGATAATCTGGAAATTAAAAAGTCACCTGGATATGACTTAATAATATCTAGTTTAGTACTAGAAAATCTACCCAACGAAGACGTATGTTTAATTACTTACGTATTTGATTCAATATTAAAAACAGGTTATTTTCCACTCCAATGGAAAGTTGCTCACATTATTCTTATTCCAAAACCTAATAAGGATCACACGCAAGTATCTTCATATCGCTCAATTAGCTTGTTGCCTATTCTATCCAAGTATTTGAACGGCTTTTTCTGAGAAGATTGGAGCTTATTTAATATGACAGTAATGTTTTACCGAATTATCAGTTTGGGTTTAGGAAACAACATGGTATCATCGAGCAAATTCATAGGGTGGTAAAGACTATCAGAAATTCGCTCGAACAAAAAATTACTGTACTGCTGCATTTCTAGATGTCTCTCAAGAATTCGAAAAAGATTGGCATGTAGGTCTTATCTCTCAAATTAAATCCATATTTCCTCATTCCACTGTGGTGAGTCCAAGTTAACAGTTTAAAATCAACACAAATAACGTTTACGTTAAAAAACAGTGTCGCGCCACCAGTTTCTATAAACAACACTCCACTACCAGTACCAGTTAATACAGTCGTTAAATACTTGGGAATTCATTTGGATAGCAAACTTAATTGGGACATCCACATCTGGAAGAAACGCCTTCAACTCAGCTTAATCTACAGGAAAATGTATTGGTACATGAGTCGAAAATCAAATCTAAGCCTGGAGAACAAACTCCTGATATATAAATGTATTTTAAAACCGGTATGGCAATATGCAGCACAAATCTGGGGTACAGCAAGTAATACCAACATACAAAAACTTGAACGGTTCCAATCGAAAGTACTGCACCAGATCTGCAATGCCCCTTGGTACATTACGAACCACAGATTACACCACAATTTACAGTTAGCGAAGCAATATCTGCTGTAAACTCTGTATACAAGACCAGACTATCCTGCTATACAAATCCGCTGGCCAGGATCTGTTCAACATTTCACACGAAAGAAGATTAAAACGACCAGCCCTTTGGACATCTAGTAAATATGGAGAAACAGAGCATTTTGTTTGTTAAGTTGAAGTTTAAATTA